ATAACATATATATAACATATCTATATAAAAATAAATAAATAAATAAATAAATAAATATATATATATATATATATATATATATATCCATTTATATATCTATATTTATAAATAAATAATAATATATATATATATATATATATATATATATATATATATATATATACATATATATAAATTTTCTATGAATTAACTTGTTATTCATTCAGTCATCTGTTCATTAAATATTTATCTACTAATAGTATTCAAGAATCCTAAAATCACATATACTTTTCGCTCATGCTAGAAAAGAAAAGAAAACTGTTGTATCTGAGCGTGGTGTATCAGTAGCCTTGAGCTTCAAGGAAACAGAATTGGTGGAATAACGGTATCAGTTCTAATTACCTTCTAACAGTGGACTTCGAGCAAGACGACTTTAAAGTAAGTTAATGTCAAGTTGTGGAAGAACGGGAAAATAAACTTGAGTCACAAAGGAAGTTCGAAGATGGACCAGTGGAAAATTAATACATAAACAATGAACAAAACTTACATGCGGATCATCACGGACAATCTCAAATTGCTTCACCATTCCTGCTCTGTACGTCTCCCTGTACCTCATAATCCCTTGTAATATCCGTGACATCCCCATCTCTAAGAATTCTTGTCTCTTTTTTCTCCACGGACGTCACAGGGGATGGGATAATGAGAGATACAGGGGAAAGGAGGCGAGAGAGAGAGGGAGACAGAGTCACTCCTAGCAGACGATGCACCTTTTGTTTACGTGACGTCGTTCGGAAGTTATCGTACGGGAGTGGCCTTGGCTTACTATTTTACCTTTATATTTCTTATCATTAATCTGTCTTTTCTTCTGTCGTTACTCATCATTGATCGTCTTCAGCCCGTTTGTGTTTCTTTTTATTCTATTTTTTGTTTCATAAGTTTTCATGGTTGTACAGCACGGTATATATTGGCGTAAAAGAATTGGGAAAGAGAAAAGAAGAATGAAAAATAAAAGAGAAGATAGCGGATAGGGGAAGAGGCGAGGGAAATAATTATGAAAAATGTGTGCCATAGCGACCTTTAAAAAATAATTGGCCTATACCTTTCCCTTAGATTAGTTGGTAATTGGGAGAGGTTGGATATCGTCAACGGTTGCTGGGAAGTGTACTTGGCAACTACCGACATCTGGATAAGACCTGAGAGACAAGACCTGATAAGCTCGTGACCTTCCTCTCTGTGGCATCTGTTTGAGTGTTGTGATTGTGTTGACATATCCGTGTTTCTTCTTGAACTGTACCTTTACATATTTGTGTTATCATGTATATTTCTCGTGTTATTTATATTGTTTATATCTTGTGCACATAGATGTTGATTTATAATATATTTTTATATAGTGACTCGTTCCTGGAATTAACCCTTATATGTTAAAGGAGTGTTCTCTCCTTACACACCCCTCACAATATGTATAAATATTGCATGATATTTTTGTGAAGATCTTTTAACAGAAAAGTAAAACAAGATTTCGTCCTTTCTTTTATTTTTCGAAAATACTGATGTCTGTTAAACATCCATTTTCTTTTATGGCATTAGTCTTGTCACTTGCTCGTGCGATTACCAGATTGGCATTTGAATAAACAAGAAAACAAATCACAGAGATGCAGGACAAAGAATAACAACAAAAACATAAACAAAAACAAAATAGAAAAAATCCCAGACCGCAACAAAGCATTTACAAAAGTACCAAAATGACAAGTGTACAACAAAACATACCCTAAAAACAACGGTATGAGCACATATACATTGCACATATGCTTGCAACTTGCACACGTCGTCAGATGGTCTCGCTTGGAGGCAAGGGCGTGCTTCCTCCAAGTGGCTGCAGTGTAGCGCATGCAATACGAGTCCGTTGATCCTTTTGCAATACGAATGCATTGCTTGGAAAAACGACGAGAAACGAAAAGGAAAAGGGGAACTAAAACGGAAGGAAGAATCGAAGAGAAGATAATGCCCGTCACCAGAGTCACAGGACCTTGTGAACTCTTCCCGAAAAAAGAAGAGAAAAGAAAAGAAATATATATAAAAGAAAACTCCAGTAACAAGAATCCGGGTTGCACATCCAAAGGAAACCCGATGCCACCGTGGCCTTCTATTTCCTCCCGACGGGCACGGACACGGGCACGGAGACGGGCACAGAGACGGGTACGGACACGGGCACGGACACGGAACCACCTGCGGAACCTGGCTGCTCCGGCACTACAGGCTGGTACACATACCCTTTCGGTACATCTTCATTGATCCAAGCCCACCTTTCCCCGCCCTCGGGCGTCTTGACCTTCCTGAAGAAGTTGTAGTTGAGGTAGTAGTACATCTCCGGGTTGTCGCAGACGAAGCCGTCCTTGTGAACGCAGGCCATACTCGCCTGGGGTGGGAGGCAGGGAGAGGCGTGGGTCATGGCAGGAAGTGAGTTGAGTAATATATGGCCGCTTTCGCGTCACGGTGGCACTTGGAGCGCCATTTGAAAAGGAACATCCGGAAATATATGGAACCTTTCACACACAAGTGGCGCGGCGTGGCACGCACATCCCACGTGGAACATGCGATGTGCCACGCCACGTCTGTGTGAAATGTTTCATATATTCCCGGATGTTCCTTTGCAAATGGCGTGCCACGTGCCACCTTGGTGTGAAAGCGGCCTAAATTGTATAAATCGAAGTGCTTGAGCTTGTAACCATCAGATCTTTTGTAAAATTGTGCCACTAACACAGAGATGAATATATTTTGTATTATGGTTAAACTACCTAATGTACGAGGGATCTAATGCATACTAAGTATGGCAATAACAAGTATTATTACACAATGACAAAGTACAAAATCCTTGCGCACTCACCTGGTCAAAACTGGTCTGGTTTCCGCAGATGAACGAAAAGGTGTACGTAGTTGGAGTCTTGTAAAGGGTTGGGTATAGCGAGTGGAGAGGCAAGCAGACGTGGAAAATCTGACAATCGTTGTCTGGATCAGCGTAGTAGCCATAAGCCTGTGCAATTGTACTGATTAATTTTCTTTAAAAAGTATCTAAGCTTATTTTATAGTTACATGAATATAGGCATTGCCGTGCATCATGTCACATACAAATGCACAGATCACACATCTTGTAGAAATATTAATTAGTGTATCATCAAGCATGCAGTTTGATATATAGATTTATACACACACGGAGTATTGCTCACTACAGCTTCTTTCTCCCATGGCAGAAAAACTGGAAAGGGGATTAATCATGGGTGAATTCTTAGGACGCTGTTCACTCTCGTCGCACATTTTGTTTTGTTTTGAAATCCAAGAATGAGGTTTGGAGACTAGAAAACCATTGTGGAGTTGCCAAACCACTGGGGCAGAAGAGAGGAATTACTGAGAAATAGTGGGCGGTCTCTAGACTGATTCCTCTGCAACCATAGCTGTCTTGAATGATTACCTTCAGTGTCACGAAGCCTTGCACCTACAGAAAACCACATAAGTTGATGCCAGAGCAAATAAGAGAGAAGGGAGACTGGAGCAAGGACATGCTAAGCAAATACGGTGGTGAGAGTTAATGGGTACTTTTGATATTGTGCCATGAAGAAACATGGTGTCTCAGCATGATCCAAAGGCCAGGCATCAGTTCGACAGGTGGACGTTTGCATCTGAAAGTGTTCCACTCCCACTGCAATCCCTCGGGTCACATCGTTCCCTCCACGAACGATAGTTACTCCAAGGAACTTTAACTCTTAAAATTAAACATAGAAGTAACTTGGTGGACTCTTACAACCGGGAGTCTCCAAATACACCACAGCAATGACTCATCATACCCATACGTTAGTTTTGAAAACCATAATAAACGATCAAGTTGGTGGATCATCCTTCGAAGCTCTGACTTGGATTCATCGCCTTTCCTTCCCCAAAGCACAGAAACATCTGACGAAGCATTTTGGGAGCACCACGGAAGCTGGTCAGCAGGCGTTGGTTTCAGACAAAGCAACTACTGGTCCCGCTTAACGAATACTGCCTCGAACTTTAGTAAATAACGAAGTGTTGAAATGCTCTCGTATGATTGTTTCTGCATTTTTTTATTTAGTCTCTTATTGACGTGCCTGAAACCGAGATTCTATTCCTTTATTTGAGCTTGAATCAAGTCCTGGTGCCATCTTTCAACGTAGGCGAGCTAGATCCTGCGATTTTTCGAGCCAATGAAGAAATATCGTTTGTGATCGTCTTTGAATTTTGTTAAACGTTTGTATATCACCAATAATAACGTTTTGAGTAAACATGGATACGCCTTTCCAAGAAAGTTGAATTGAAATTAAATTGAAAAATGTTTATGTGTGGCCGAAGGTGGCTTACAGGAGAGGATTGACATGAACGGAATCTGGGCTTAAGCAGGCCGCCTACCCCTGTCTACCTGCACACCACAGAGATGACTATGTAAAAGTCACGGAAATGATAATGAACAGACTATCATGATAATAAATCACTTAAATAATTGAAGAGCTAATCAACTAGTAAAGCAGAAAGAGATGGACAGACTGGCAGTATATATATAATACATTGATATCTATAGGCTTCAATTCATCTATCTGTATAGAGAGTGGCTCAAAAGCCTCAGTGCTGTCCCCTTCCTCTGAAGCAGGACTCTTACCCTTCCACTGCACGAGAACGTGTCCTTGATGTTGGGCCTGAGGAGGGTGGCGTTGTCCGGAAGTCGACTCATGATGCCTGTCAAGGAAGTCTTCACACTGAGAAGCTGAGAGTTGACCGGGGAGTGCCTGAGGAGCTGGCTGACTGGCAGGCTTTCCAGGCTGTTGGAGGGAGACCTGTACTCCACCACTGCGGGTAGGGGCTGTGGAGGCACCTGTGGGGAGAACTGCGGCGCCTGCTGTTGGAGAGGGGACGCAGCCAAGCCTGGAACCGCTACGCTGAAACCTGCTTGTTCGCCGGCGAGCTGTCTCCCCTGCGAGTCAAACTGAGACACAGCCGGGCCTCTGTTGCGTGGAGCAGGAATGGCGGAGGACGAAGCTAAAAGGGCTGTGGAGAGCAAGGGAGCATTGAGGCATTAGGGCGCACTTGCTCGGAAGGGGGCTTGAAGGTAGGGGTCGACGGAGGAGAGTTGGCAGAAACAAGGTCTGGACAAGTACTTTCCTAGACTTTGGTGACTGAAGGCAGGAGGAATAGATGAACTGAAATGGATAGAGGAAGATGCAGTGGGGAAGGAACTACTGGATAATATACACATGTGCAGAGGCGTGGCTTCCATGATGGGACAGGGGGGCACCCGCCCCCGGAATCTGATAGGCCATCCCGAGTGCCCCTAATGGCCATTGGCACGTCGTAATGTCAATCATTGCGTAAAGTTCTTTCCCGACGCTGCACGTTAAGACGGAAGCAAAGCTGAAATCTTGTTTGATGAGACTATGTTTAGAACTCATGAAGGTTTTTATTTAAAAAGAAGGAAGTGGTTTCGCGGCTCCGCGCATGAACACGTGTAACTTTACTAGTCACAGACTTTTTAAAACTGATAACTGCACAGAAACACTGAGATTTTTATCCTATTTTTAAATTCTACTTTACATTTTTATTATATTTGTTATGTTATTTTAGAATATAGTCGTTAAATTGTAAGAATTTAAGTGGTGCTTAGTTAAAACTAATTCCTACACAGAACACTGCTATGTTCAATGTACAGAGCTAGAATCACCAACTTCTGACCAACTGTACAGCAAACGTCATAGTGGTGTGTGTGTTAGCCTACTTCTTTGTAAAAAACATCCAGCAGATTTAATGTGGCCAATAAAAGCAAGATGAAAACATAAACAATGTATAACTGTACAATATAAATACTGAAGTAGCCAGCCTTATTTTTGTTACTTTTGGGCGGCCCCCCCACATTTATTGTTGTTACCCCCTGTGTCCCACCAGAAAATTCTCTGGACCCGCCCTTGCACGTGTGTGTATGTATATATATAAATACATACATGTGTATGTGTAGAAAAATATACTATATATATTTATGGCACAGCTATGGAGGTGATGATAAGGTTTAAGCGTAATTTAGCTAAAACAGTTTTTGTAACAGAATAATCTTATGAAAGACATGTCTCTAACTTGCTTTACACATTGTTTTTCATCAAACTTCAAAACTTAGAGATTCCACAAGGAGGAAAGCCTCAAGAGCTGAGAGAGGGAAATATGGGGGAAAATTCATAAAACGGGAACAGAAACATATTCAAAATTATGCAGTTCTTCATATTCACATTCAATATAAGCAAGATATGCGAAACAGCTCGGTTAACTTACCAAAACATAAACAAAGCACCAACATCGTGACCTGCGGAGGCAATCAAATCTGAGTAATTCAAATCACTTTACAAATTCTTATTTCTAATAATAATTTTTCTATTTTTCTCAGTAATCCTATTTGAATAGTTGTTTCTGCATTTATGTATGTGTGTGTGCGTATTAATGTTTGCGAGTGTATGCAATTACTACGAATGAACTGCAAAATGTGTAATTCTCGTTTTCTATGTTACCTCTTTTCTAACGGAACTTTAACTGTTTGTCTGTTTATGTCAGAGCACAAAGAGAGCAGCAAACAGAAGTATCATTAAATAACCTCATTTTAAAGTTCTGTACCAATTCCACCAATAGATGAATTCGCTTACAAAATAGCCACAACTCATGAAAAGTAGATATAGCTCATTTCGGTACAAATAGACATCATTATATACACAATATATCATCTCATTTCTTTCTCAACCATTAAAAAAATAATAATAATAATAAAATAAGATAAGCAAGTGGCATAGCGTGATTGCTGATTCTTATGCATTCACATTTTCACTTGCATCGACATTTTATTATGTAAGCCTAATCATTCCTTCTGTAGGTCTGCCTTTAACTCAAACCACCGACTCACTATAGATCAGATCAACGGAATTCACTCTATTGATATATAAATGAAGTGTACTGCCACTTTTAAAAACTTCAAATTATCATACAAACTCACAGTTCACATTATATCACGGTTATTAATCTATTTTCTGAATGCAACAAAATTCTTAAAGAAAATCACTTTTATCACTAGATCCAATCGTATATTCTAACCGGACACACAACTGTATACTAAACGCAATAAATTAATGGAAATACACAAATGAATAATCAAGATAAAAATTAAAAAGTTACAAAACGAAGCAAATACAAATGAATAATCAACATAAAACAGTTACAATGAGATGGCTCACTATAAGAAAACAAGAAAAGTAATAACGTATGAGCGTCTCTGTTTGTCTGGGATAAAGACATGCATGTACAAATAAACAAATGCACATATAAATGATTAAAAGCCTCATTCATACACGAAAAACAAAAACAAAAGACGTACGTATGGTCTCGATCGAGTCTGTCTGTCTGAAGAAAGTTTTGGGACCGCGGATGCCCTGGGAGGTTTGAGCTCGGAAAGGCTTCCTTGTAAAGCTCACCCAAGTAAGTGACTGC